AGAAACCCCGCCTCCTGCGCTCGCCAGCTGGACTCTGCTCTAGGAAGGAGGCTCCGGCAAACCACTTCCGACATACCCTGCCTTGAAAACTGCAAGGACTCATCCAAAGCAGTCACTGCAGAGTCGGTAACGACTGAGTGCAGATATTAAAAAAAAAAAAAAAACAGCTGCCCCTGAGAGTGTTCTACTGTGTACCTTTAATTCCTCTGATTGAGAGGATGCATTTTCATTACTGAGCATTGCCTGTCCAGCTCTTAAGCCATCCTTATAGCCTCACCCAAGGTAACCCTTTCAAGTGAAATTAAGAAGGAGTTTGTCAAGGAGACTTTTCAGTATGTAGGTTCTCAGGTGCCTCAGGTCCACCTGAGGCAAGTATACTTGGAGCCCAAGATAAGATCATTTCAGTGCTGGGCTACAGGCTGATAGTTGTCTTCTCTCTGCCCTTTTTATACTTAGTTTTAAATGTCACACTATTGGGTGTTCTCTCTCTCTCTCTCTCTCCCTCCCCCCTCATTCTCCATATTCTTCCAGTGCTTTAATTAATGTACTCAGGAGCTAGGTGGGGATAGAGTCAGGGAGGAGGGGACAGAGTGACACAAGCAATGGCATTGTGATGTAAGTCCCCACTTTTCTACTTGTGTTGTGACATTGAATGGACACCCAAAAGAGGTGGAGTTTGCAGTGTGAAGCCACATGTCAGCCCTTGGATGGAGTCCAGACAAGAAACCAGCTTCATGAATACTAACATTACCTTTATTGTAAGGTTACAGTAACAGTATCTTGCAAGTCTGAAAACATTTTCCTCCCCTCTTGTCTTTACTTTCCAGGGAATTAGGGAGGGTCCCTTCTGAGACGCTTTCCATGCCCCCATTCCTTCGGTAGGCTGAGATGTCACTTATCTGGCCATTGACCTGGCTACAGCTCTTCCTCCTCCTGTCTCTCAAGGATATTCCCACAGACTATTACACCACAAGATCTATGTGATGAAAGCAACAAGAGCTTGCAGCTCTTTAGGGTTTTCATTGCTTGCATTGCTTTCAATATTCTAAATTATTTTGTAATTGATCCAAAGAATTTACCAGGTCAATTACTACTAGTAGTAGTAGCAGTAGTGATATCATACAGAACACAAGCTTCCTCCTTTTTAATATAGTGCCTTCTATTTTCAAGAATCCACAAGCTAGTATTTATTGTCATTTAGCAATAATTTAACATCCTGGGCATCAGGAAAGCATAGGTAGCATTTTCTTTATTTCACTGTAACTTGAATTTTAGGGGGGAAAAAAGATTTATATACAGTAACTCAGGCATATATCTGTCAGAGTAAATCTGGAAAATGCATTTAAAGATCCCTGTTGACTCTTGCAGAGGAATTTAGATTCCACACAGGTGCCCATAACTGAAGTGGTCCCAGCTTTTCAGGGATAATATAATGTACATATTGACTTCATGATACTATAGACTGGGCAGCACTGAAGTCAAATACAAGCATCTCAGAATGATGACAAGAGATTAATCCCATACAGTAAGTTATGATAACATATTAGTGATGAAAAAAGCCTAATTAAAGTGAAGGTAAGTTTTATGAATAACACAAAGCATGCTATTTTGTGTCAATTCTTTCTTATATGTGTACACACCTGCACATACATACACACACAGATACAACTAGTAGGATGAAAATTTGAAATGCATATGAAAATTTCTCAGAGGTTTATGACGCATGTACTGATTTCAGAAAACTGTTGGATTCAAGGGAAGAAAATACATATTTCACCTTCTCTTCCTCTCTCCTCCCCTCTCCCCCCCCTTATCTCTTGTTAATGAATAGACTATACCTCTTGCTCTGTGCAATGATCATTGCCCTCCAGGTTCCAGAAAGAAAAGGAAGGAAGGGGAGCCATTTTGTTGCTATGATTGTAATCCATGTGCATCAAGAAAGTTTTCAAATAAGAGAGGTAGGAAACATTGTACTGTAATGTTTGTTTATGTGTGACTGGATGTATACAGAAATGCACACAGGCATATCACACAGAGAACATATCACACACATACAGGTCACCCTCATTATTCATGGGAGCTCCATTCTGGTTGAGCTCCCATATAGTAAGATTGCAAACAACGAGGTCATGAAAAAAATACTTTATGCCAGTGCAGAGGGACAACCATCATTTTGTGCAGGCATATATTAAAAAAATGCATCAGGGGCAGGCATATATTTTCCTACTGCTGATATGTGAAGCCATGGGTAACAGCTTGACTAAAGACAGCTAGTCTGTTGTGTTTTCAAAGATGCTACATCATCACTAATATAAAAGTTTAAATTCAGCACGTAGATAATGGCTCTGATGTAATTAGTTACACTAGAGGAGATGCTATTGAAGTATGCCAAAATTTAAATAACATTGAAAGACATAAGAAATCCTTCCATACAACTACTCTACCCACATTCATGAAGCATTGCTTCCTTTCAGTAGAAAATTTACAGGTGACAGAGAAAGCACGTATAGAGCAAGAAACTCATGTATATAAAATCAGTTAAGTTTTCATATGTGCTGCTTCCATATCTCTCATTTGGTGTAGTGGAGTAGCAAACATGAGAATTTTTTTTTCTGGCTCTGTACTTCTGAGCAAATCGACTTAAACTAACGTCCCGTGAACTAATTCATAATTCAGAACACACTATTTCTGAAGATGGTACACTTTCCCAAATTTTGCAGAAATGTGTATATTTATGGAAATGTGTACAGAATAAATGTTTTAGTGAAAGCTGATTTTAAAAATGAATACCAGCATTGACACAGAGACAGAGAGACTGAACACTTGTGTAAATAGTATGAACTGAAAATTTTTTTGCATAAACTCATTCTTTCTATCAGAGAAATAGCAAAAAATTACAACTATATATAGTGTGTTATACATGTTTATGAAGATGTTTCACGATTTATAAAGTTATGTATAAGATTAACAAATATCCTTCTCAAGCAAAGTCCAGGAGGGGAAAAATGTGAGGAAAAGGGAAAAATGTTTTTTAGCAACATCTGCCCCAGATCACATTCTTTGGTGGGAGTAGTCCTCAATCCTACTTAGTAAGAGAAGTCTTTGGACATGACAAATGTATTCAGTCTTCATAATATTGGTATAGGAGGGGTTCTCTCAAAGCTTCTCAAAAAGAAAAACAAATAATTGTTGACCTCTTGCTTTTTATAATATAAGATTCAGCTTCATAATATTGGTATAGGAGGGGTTCTCTCAAAGCTTCTCAAAAAGAAAAACAAATAATTGTTGACCTCCTGCTTTTTATAATATAAGATTCAGCTTTAAAAATCAAAGCTGCTTCCATCCTTCAACACATTGTACAGGTATTTTGATAGATGGAAAAGCTTATGTACAGTATTAAGAAAGCAGGAGATACTTTAAGAGAGATGTGGAGAAGTTGTGTGTCAATGTTGCTGGACTACATGTTCCAGCACTTCTGGCTAGGAGGGTTAAAGGCAATGAATGATGAGAGTTGTTGCACATCCAGTTCCAAGAACCATAGGTTTCCCACTGGTGCTTTATGACATTGGATGTTTTCAATTAATAAATACTTCTCAGTAGACAGAAGTATGCAACATTTGAAATAGTGCTATGAATTCTGAAATAAGTATTTTCACAGATATGGATGACTGCTTAGACTGTCCAGAACAACAATATCCAAACAAGGAAAAAACCCTATGCATTCACAAAGTTCTAATTTTTTTGTCTTACAATGAAACTTTAGGCATCACTTTGACTGTTTTGGCTCTGTCTTTTTCTGTGACCACAGCAGTGGTACTTGGAATTTTCATAAAACATCGGAATACTCCCATTGTCAAAGCCAACAACCAGAATCTCACTTATATTTTGCTTGTTTCACTCTTCCTCTGCTTCCTCTGTTCCTTGCTCTTCATTGGTCAGCCCCAATTACTGACTTGTCTTCTCCGTCAAATTGCTTTTGGGATCATCTTCTCAGTTGCTGTTTCTTCAGTTTTGGCC